TGGACAGCAGAGGATCTGTTTTTGGTAAACGAGTGAGCGGCTGGTGTCTGGTGGTTGGATGCATGTGTCACTTTGGACTGGTTGCCATTTCGAGGACAAGCTGCGGGGAGGCCACTCGTGGGGAGGCTGAGCGTGCATGTGCATGCGTGCGCTTGTGTGTGTGGAAGAGACCTAGACAGAGTGAATCAGAGCCTTAGCAACAGTGACAGAGAGATACAGACCAAACCATACCTGTGGGCGGGATCATGCCGGGGGACATGAGGCCGGGGACTGAGTGGGGCATGATGTGGGGGTTCTCCGGTGATGTCACGCTCTGGGTTCTCTTCGGAGGCCGGCCGGGTCTGGAGCTGAAACACCGGGCAGAAAGAGGGAAGAAGTCGGGTGAGAAATGAGGAGGAGGGGCCGTGTGGGTAGTGCTGGTCTGGTGCTTTGTGGTGGTGGCGGTGGTGGGGGAGTGTTAACATTTGGAGCACTCCAGAATGCAATTCCATTCCAAAGAGCTAACATGTACTGTAAATAAATTTCTTTTCAAGGACAGTTGCTTTCTGCAGCTCAACATAATAGACTTCCATAACTAATTAGATTACACGGTGAATTCATTTCCTTTATTGAAGATCAACCACTTTTTGATGCATAATTCATAACCCGTACCTCGTTACCTGTTCCTCCGTATTAATATCCCCACACTATTTGAATTGCCTCGTTTGCATATGCTAAAATCCAGCGCGCGGCCCTCGGCCTGGAAATTACATGTTAACTTGTTATAATTATTGCAGTCAGGCCACTATTGATTTATGAGACTTTTAAAAACCAAATATGTGTAGTTCTGGTAATGAATGATATTTTAAGGTTCTTCAGGAAATTAAAAGGCAATGGCTGCCTTAGGAAATGTTCTGCTTGCTTGATTTAATGCGTGCCTTAGCTGGAAGGTGGTGTGACAGAGTGATTCAGACCTGTTGGACGGTTCTGATGGGGGAGTTTTATTACACCAAACGAGGGGCACAGATCCAGCCGTGATAAATGACTGTGCCACCTTACTGTGGAGGAGAAAAGGCCTTCAAAGCAGATACACCCCTGACTTTCCACACATCTTACTCATTCACTTATTAATACAGCTTCGAGTTTCAATCAATACCTACTTTGCTGGCTTATAGTTACAAAGAAAAGCCTACAGGCTGAAAAAAACAACAACACAATGAGCATGTAATGGGCCGAGATTCTATAGAGGTATATTCTTTATGAACAAGGGGCTGGATGTCTCAGCTGAAGATGAATTATGGTGACGTGACACAGGTGACATATTGGCCTCATACATTATTTCACATACAATAGTCCATTTCAAGCTTTACCAGGATACCGAGCGCTCTCTATCAAGAAGTGAGTTTGACTGGTTTTTAAAACACCAAAAGGTTTCCAGAGTGTTCTGAAACTACAGGAGAAAAGCTGGATGGATAGTGATATGTATATATCAGTTTTATATACATATATTTTTTTTTTCTTTTGAGGTACGAGACATTTCTTTGTTCATTCATCTCCTGCAGGTAAAGTTAGTTCACACTTAAACAGTCATAATTAATATGAAGACTGAATTACACCATTTTTTAAAAAGAAAAAAAAAGGTGTTTGCAAGAACAATCTAGATTCAATCAATGTAACAATAATGTCTTTCTCTAGACTTTATCAAGCACTAGGCTGTTTGTGTTACAGTACATTTCACTGTATTTCCCAAAGGCGGTATCTGTAGAATGACGCAGTGTGTTTTAGTTCAGACGCCAGTCGAAATTTATTCAGCCATATCTTGCGAGGTTTATTTACCTCACTCCTGCTAATAGAGTGCACTCACTCTATCTGTCTGAATGTGCTGACTCTCTCATATAGTGGCGCTGGAGGTTTTAGGACTAAAAGCAGACCTTCACCCAACTGTGTCCCTTTGGAGGGGAAGTACGAGAGTGATAGAAAGAAGTAACAAGAGGGAGAGCGAGCGGCAGAAAGCGAGAGGAGGGAGAGGGAGAAAAGAGGGAGGCGGAAAGAGAAACGAGTGCCCGCTCAACCTAGGAACGTCTGGAAACGTAATTCCTATTTCTATAGAAGCACCTCTTTGATCTTATGAGAGGGAGAGATCGCAGACAGCTTTGCTGTCATCACTTTCACTTGTACTCTGGCTGAATTATTTATGAAAGACCTCAATAGAGGGTATGTGATGGGTAAAAGGCTTTTTACTAACAATACTAAAAGCAAAAGAGGACCCTCAAATGGACAAAAAAATGTCACATCAACCTTAGATCATGTCAAAGGATGTGAACTCGGGTACAAAGGCCCAGTTAAGTAAAGGTAATGTTTGGATAGGCTGCGAGAGATTCTGTCCCGTGTGTTTAAAGGGATAGCATTTCATCTACAGCCTGCACACAAATAACACCAGCGAGCCATGAAAGCAATACACCAGCTGAAAATGGAGCTTTGAACTGAGGAACCTCCGAGCAACAGGAAAGCCTCTCAGAAAATTAATGCTACTGTCTCCTTTCCTTATGGCTTAGTAGACGTCTACATTTGCAGAAATGGCAAACACTTTATTAAAGAGGGGGTGAAGTGGCTCCTCTGCTCAACGTTTCCAAAGACTGCACGTGTATAATGTTCCCGAACGATTTGCACCACATTTTCCCAGGCATACGGATCTGTGATGGTCAGAACCATCCAGGCTAATAAGCCGGGTCCAGGGAGGAACTCAACCTGGCCTCAAACAAAAGAGCCAGGCTATTTATCAAGCAGCAGATGCTGATTCCCTAAATAGCCTGGCACAGAAACGGCTCCAAACTAGGCCATTATTGCAGAAAAAAAGATAGCACAACTGGATTTATGATTGGAATTTGTGTACCTTTGCTACATTTCTTATCCGCTGTTGTCTTTTCTAATCTTTTATTTTTAAATTTTCTCTCTCTCTCTCTGCTTAAAAAAATCGAAACATTTCAGGAAATAAGAGCCTCTGAGTTCCAAATTGGGGCTTGTTTGGACAACTTTATTTCTGTTCTAGAGGTCAATCATGAAAGAATTTTATTTCATGCTTTATTTATATTTATGGTTAAGATATTCAGACCCCCTTATATCTCTCTGGCTTCAATTAAGGAAGCAAAATAGGCCCCACCAGCTTTGGGCTGGGGCCACAAATATGTTACACATCTATTCTCTCCCTTTTTCTTGTTTTGCTGCTATGGTGAAAAGAAAATACTGGTGAACTTTCCCTGAACCAGACTTCCTTTAATGGCCCGGCCGTGTGTTGACCCAGCAGAGTCGGCTGGAACCTGATACTATCCAACACACTACGCTGCGCAGGCAATCAGATTACACGGGGCCCAACAATACACTCCACACGAGTCCAATTTCAGCACTACAATGCAATAAAAGCACAATAATTAAATTCACGTTCTCACCCCGTTTACAGGAAGCCAACACGAGGTGATAGGTATAATAAGAGGCATAATATCGAATGAGATATCAGGATGCTTTTTGATCTCACGGCAAAATTCTGACATCTCGCCATCAGTCTCGTTTCTGACAACGGAAGCAGTGACTGAGATCTTATTACCCAGAACGCTGTTAATGCAGTGATTACGATCTGTTATAAATCAATTGAAACCACAAATGTAATGTTTAGCCCAAGTGAGCACACTCCCTTAGTGGATTCAGTTACACACAGAAGTCATCCGCTCCTCCCATCTTCGGATATCTTTAGGAATTCAACCTGATTATGTCAATAGTGGCTCGAGTTTGCAGAGAAAGAGCATAATATTATTTCCTGGTGGTTATGATTGAGCCATTAACCTTTTATCGCAGTCTTTTGTTTGACGTTTCTAAAAGCTAAGGATGAAGATATTTATTCCATTTCCGCCCGGTTGGCCAAAACAAGCGAGTGAATCATTCGTCTGGGGCTTGTGTAAACAAAAGGCCTCTCCAGGTCTCTGCCAATCAGGTCTTATAAAATATTAACCCAATGTCATTGCCCTTTTAAAATCTCTCACCTAGAATTCCCTAATTGTTCCTTTTCTTTATCTCTCCAGTGCAGAGAGTAAATAAATTAACAAAATAGCTTTTATCGCCCTGAGTAACCTTTTAACTGAAGGATTATCTGGGGTTTATTTTTCATTTCTCTCACAGCGATAGCAGAGCATGCCCCATTGATTGGTTTGCTGGGGTGGTGACCAGCCATGAAAACAAGGTCTTATTGATAAAACAAAGCAGTTTCTTACCTTTTAAGTGCCAGGTCAGGCAGAAATTCAGACGCCCTGAACCCATCAGGGGCCTGAATATGCTGAGTGCATTGGTTTTTTTGGAGGTTTGTTTTTTTTTTTTTTAATTCAGTTCATCAAATGGTTTAAAAATATGCGCACAACTCCCCTGAGAGGTTAACTATGTTTTTAAAAAAAGATAGGAATAACATGTCTGTGCTGTCTTACTGCCAATTTAAAATCCCCACAGGTCAGATAACATTGTTGTCTGGGAAAAAAATAGTGCGATGCTTAACTTTAATTTGAGAAATGAGTTGTGTTAAAAAAAACTTGGTCTGCTGGACAAGAGAAGTGTAATGCTAGCAAACGCAGAAGGAACAGGAAGTTGTGCTCTTTAATTTTACATTTGTTTGTTGATTAAACTTTAAGAGTAATAAAGAATTTTACATTTGCTCATCGAAATCACTGTTTGAGCAAAAGTGTCGACCGCTCTCTCAAACCGAGTATCTCTGGGTGAATAAGCAGCGTAGCATTTCTCGAGATTTTCTCAAAATCTACAATCAAATTAGCTGAGAATCGAGCGTGCGTGTATCAAAGAAAGCGTAGCAACTTGAGAAAATGAAAACCAGCGAGAATGACAGGGCTATATGTTGCTTTCAACAAAACGGGGAAAAAGAAGGAAAAAAAAAAGATGATTTATATTTCCTGCTGACCTTGGCAGTCTATTCGTTGTGATGATCATAATCTCAGAGTCACCGTGTGATACATGGGAATGCATTCGCTCATCCATCTTTTTCATGCATCCATCTATCCTTACCCTCATCTTGTATCTGTATTTGCATTGAACCTATTCTTGGATTATCTCAATCAGCTTCCCCCTTGCACCTGTCAAACAACGCCTCGCACAGGTAGCCACACGGCACTTATCTGATCTAGATAGCTGGATTACAGCGAGTTTGAGTGCGAGCAGAGAGAAGAGGAAAGAGAAAAAAAAAGGAAAGAAAAACAGACTTTTATTTATTAGGGTTAGGAACAGCTGCATCCGCCTGCAAACTGTGAACCTTTGTTACGGAACAATATATCACAGATCAAATGGTGTGAAATCAAAGGCGGGAGAGAGTTAGCAT